CAATGTAAAATAGTAGAGATATAAGAATAATATACGTGATAAGAAAGTGATGTATATATCAACTGCAGGGAGGGAGGGAAGTCAAGACTCGGCAGAGTCAAAGGGAATGTATTGTGATAATAATGGATAGTTGGAAAAAGAATACTTAAAGAAAATAATAAAAATTTACTTGGAAAAAAATATAAAGGGCCTGAAAGCTACTTCAAAGGGCACATGGTCTGGAATTAATTTTGGAAATTCTATTAGCATATCTGGGATGCAGGATAAATGCAAGCCAGGGAAACTGTAAAGGAATGGAATGGAGGACACAGCGTCATTCTTGAGTGTGTGAATGTGGAATCTGAATCAAACTATTGCAGTGTGGTGTGGATTGTTCCTTTTCAGGAATCCAGCCAGACTTGAGATCAGCATTTGTAACATAAGACAATTCTAGAGATACATTTTTTTGTCATTCAGCCACTAGCCTTCCAGTCTCCAGTGGGCAATTTGAAGAGAGAAACGAGTTCACCCGAAATGAATGAGATTTAATACTTTACTTGAGAAGAGCTTGCAGGACCAGGTCAATCTAGTCCAGGGTCCTGTTCTCACAGTTGCCAACCAGATGCCTGTGGGGAGACCTGAGCGCAAGAGCACTCTCCCCTCCTGCAGAGAAGGAGGCTGCCTCTGTCATCGGAACCAGAGCATGGCTATCATGGTTGTAGCCACTGACAGCCTTTTCCTGAATGAATTTGTCTAATCCTCTTTTAAAACGATCCAAGCTGTTGGCCATAGCTGCCTCCTGGGGGAGCGAACTCCATAGTTTAACTGTGTACTTTATCTGTCCTGAATTTTAGAACACTCAGCTTCACTGGAAGTCCACAAGTTATGAGAGAGGGATCAAACTTACGGTATGTTCTAAGAGAAAATGATATGAAAATGATGTATCGATGGTATCTAACACTGAGTCAGTTAGCAAAAATGTGTAAATCAAAATCAAATAAGTGTTGGAAATGTAAAGAGAAAGAAGATTCTGTTTATCATATGTGATGGTCTTCTAGTAAGGTTAAAGCTTACTGGGAAATGAGATATAATGAATTAAAATGGATGTTTAAAATAACGTTTGTAAAACAACAACAACCAGAAGCTTTTCTTTTGGGAATTATAGTGACAGAACTTCCTAAAATGTATATAAACTTATTCATGTATGCGACTACAGTGGCAAGAATGCTACCAGTACTTGCCCCAAAATTGGAAAGAAGCAGAAGTCCCAGCAAAGGAAGAATGGATACAAAATCTTATGGAATATGCAGAAATGGCAAAATGTACCGGAAGAATAATAAATCAAGATAACAATATTTTTAGTAAAAGAATGGAAATGGTTTATCGAATATTTACAGATAAATTATGAACAGAAGAAAAAAAAAAGCAGTATTAGAGAGAGGGGGATCAAACTTTTCTCTCTTTGCTTTCCCTGTGCCCTGCATAATTTTATAAACCCTATACCATGTCTCTTTTTCTCTGAACAAAAAAGTTCCCCAAAGTAGATTTACCCCACAATATGAACTGAAATCACTGAGAGCATCCCCCCTCTATCCCACTGCTGAACGATTATGGACTTAAATAGAATTTATCTGGACTCATAGGCAGATCTGTTTTTCTAGTCTAATGCCTAGTTCTGTACTATTTTATGTCCATGTCGCCTATAATGTTTTGGCAGATGGGAGGGTGTGAAATGAGCAAACAAAAGAAATGTTTGACATCTTTTCAATTTCATTTCTATTAAATCTCTAATTTATCCCAGAGCCAACTTTTTCTACATGTATTTCTCAGGCAATTTTATGGATGACAGCTAACTGCAGAAAGGCGTGTTGTGGTTTCTGACTTGAATGGGCTAAAATGCTGGCACAATCTGCTCTCTCATAAAAATAAAAAATTTAAAAAGATAGAGAAACACAGGATGCAATTAAAGATCTTTGAGAGCAGTCGAAACTCTGGGCCCAGATGGTATCTCAACAGACTACTCAAAAGAAAGCACACTGTTCTATTTTCCCACAAAAAAAGAATCTTCAGATAAAGTAAAATTGTTCTTTCCTGTAATGCTGGGTAGAATTGTCACCAAATGCTGCCCAAAGCAAATATTCAAACTATATTAAGAACTTGCTACTCAGCCAAGACATTCCTAGAACTTTGAAGGAAGCAAAGAGAGCTTTGATAAGACAAAGGATTTATCCAGCAAGGAATTCACTCATCTCAAGTTGTTTGTACTGTTGTCTTGCATTTCTGATCAATGCCTGATGCTGGTTCACTTCTCATCATGAATAATATCATTGTTAGGGTGCAAAATTAAGCACTTCTATCACTGGGCTTCTCCATGTGAACCAGGAAGTGACCTCTCCAGACAATGGAATGACTCTTCTCTTCTTATCTCTGTAGTTGCGATTTCCTGGGTGATGAAGACACCATTAGGCATTTTAATGTGCAGGCCTACTCCATTCATTTCCCTCCCTCTCACCACCACCCTCCATGTGCCCCAGGCACTGGCAATCCATGCTACACCACCAATGGTCATTGCTAGTATATTTTGCTGTGTGCTAAGCTAATGTGTAAGAGAGGAATGAGTGGTGAAGGAAAGGTGGGACAAATGGAGAAGTAGAGACTCCATGACTGGTCATCCTTTGGCAATCCCAGATATGTTGTCCAAAAGAAACATGCTACAATGTGATTATAACTTAAAGGCAGCCAAGGCCAGGCTCATGATTTAGATTTTTGAAATGCCCATTCTAGCCCCCCCCCCCGTGAATAATTCAGATCTCCCGTTGCAATACTGGGGATAGTCCTCTCCATCAACATCAATCAACATCATGAAACTTATTGAGGGTCCTGGTTGCATGTGGGCCCCTAGGACACCCCCACAGGGTTAATTTTTAGGGGTGTAGCCCAAGCCTTAGCTTTCGGCCCTGGGATCACACCAGGCTGTTTGGGCCAATCACGTGAGGCAGTGTGATTCCTGGGGTCTATAAAGGCTGCAGCGCGACGTAATTTGAGGCACTTGTATTGAGCTTCCGAACACCCGCACTCCCTCCCTAATGTTAGGCGTTGCTGCTTTGGCCTTGCTTTGGATCGGGTCACCTGTTTTGGAACAGGGGCTGCGTAGGAATTTTTTCCATTTGGCAGATTGGCTACAGCCACTTGGTTTTCGCCTACCCCCTCAGCAATCGTCACAACTTGTAAGGTTTGGCGGTTAGGCATTGGCTTATTGAAATGTGGGGGAGAGGAAGTGTGGCCATCACCTGCCTCTCCAGGAATAGGGTAAAGGAATCTGGGGGTCCTGGATCTCGTCCGAAGTCCGCTTGAGGGGCTAGGGCCATGCCAGGACCACAGGAACCCCGGGGTGAGCTTCGGTTGGTCTTCATCAATGTTGCTCCCTCGTTTGGTGTTTACCCTTTCAGACTACAAGCCAGAGAGGCAGGAGTCAGTTATAGTCTGTTGCCAATGCCTAAGCCAATACTGCTCACTTTGCTGTAATCAATAAAGCTGTGACCTAAAATTTGCCCAATAATTAAACTAAAATTTGTGTCCATGTGGAGTTATTTACAGGGGAGGGTCTTGGGGGCCTCAAAGCGCACTGATGCAGATTCCTAAGCTTGTCTCATGAATGGTTTGGTCTTAGAGGAGGGATGGGGAACCTGCTGCCTACACTCCCATCACCCTTGATCATTGGCCATGCTTGCTGGGACTGATGTCATCTGGATTACAACAACATACGTAGGGCCACAGGTTCCCCATGCCTACCATAGAAGTTCACCTAGCAGGAGAACATTGTTCCATTTGCTTTGGCTACTGTCACTACATTGCAGCATTCCACTGTGTCTTCCAGCATTTTCTATACATTTTTAAAACAATCTGGTGGTCCACCATAGAGTTTTCCCTCATCTTCAAGTCTTTCAAACTTTCTGAATCTTTCCTATGGTAAGGCAAGTGTTGCTTCCCCCGCTCCCAACACATTACACAAAATAGTAATAGGGGGAAAGAATCTGTTCCTATTATATCTCACAAACCCAAGATCAATGGTATAAAAGTTCCACAGTTGCATTGTTTGCACTAATAATTTTGAATAGAAGGAACGAGAAATGACGCCAGCTTCCCTTGTGTGTCATGCATTTCAATGCTTGCTTATTTTAAAATATGCATGCTGTTGAAAGGCATTGTTGGCAGCTGCCCCAGAATCTGGAGCTATCAAAAGCTCCCCTAAATTGATCTAGTCCATATTCTGACTTTTTTTTTTAACTGTCTTGAAAGAAAGTCTGAAAGAGCCATGGGAAACATAGAAAAAGAAAATCTGCTATTTTCATTATGTGCTCTCAAAAACATGCCCACCATATCCTATTACTCTACTCCTCAAGGACTTGATATCTGAATTCTCATTTACTTAGTTTGGATGTGAAATGGCCGTCATTTGCATGGAAGAGCTCAATAGATCCCTGTGGTGGCTGGCTCCATGTGGCAGTCCATTTATAAGCAGAGACTCACGATGCAAGTCGGAGCTTATCTCTTGTACGAGTCATGGATAGCCATACATGCAGCGATGTATTCTTGTGGATATGTGTTTTGAATATGCTCATATCACAACCCATTTATCCCTTTTTCATGAAGTACACAAGGGAAACAGTAACAAGGGGAGACAGAATATCATTGATGAGGAGGAACTAACTTGATCCCCCTATTCAACCTCTTTCCTTAGGGTCCATAGTGAGGGACAAGTACATCCGTGTGTATATGGGAACAAGAAGGGAATGCAATCTGGAAAACTCAGGGTGGACATACACAAAGGGGAGCTGAACTCAAGGTCTCCAGCTTATATGGTGGAATGTTCTTCAATGGGGGGCAGGAGATTCTCACATATGGCTACTAGCATATCAGTGGGGAAGGCTGGGCTAGAGCTCTTCTCTTTAAAAATCTATTTTCTAATGGGCTCTGGTCCTTCCTGGTTGTTCCCAACAAGTGGTGTTCAGAGATTCCAGGGAGGTGCCATAGCTCAGTGGTAGAGCATCTGTTTCGTATTCAGAAGGTCCCTGGTTCAATCCCAAGCATCTTAATTTTATATACTTTGTTTTTTAAAAAAGAAAGGAAAAAAGTACAAATTTATACAAAGACGGAAAACAGAAGAAAAACCAAAAGAAATAATACCCATGTGGGAAACAAAACAGAAAAAAAGATATTGAGTACATTACAAAAAGGGGGGGGGGGAATTGTTATTGTAGTTAACCATACCTGAATCAAATATGGCATTTATAAAAATGAACTCCCAGCATCTTGAGGTGGGCCTGGGAGAGACACCTGTCTAAAATCCTGGAAAACCACTGCTAGCCAGTGTAGACTGGACTAGATGAACCAATGATCTGACTCCTTATAAAGCACCTTGCTATGTTCCTATGTGGACGGGGGTAGCACAGTGGGTTAAACCACAGAGCGTAGGACTTGCCGATCAGAAGGTTGGCGGTTCGAATCCCCACGATGGGGTGAGCTTCCATTGCTCAGTCCCTGCTCCTGCCAACCTAGCAGTTCGAAAGCACGCCAAAGTGCAAGTAGATCAATAGGTACTACTCCGGCGGGAAGGTCAACGGCATTTCTGTGCGCTGCTCTGGTTCGCCAGAAGCGGCTTAGTCAAGCTGGCCACATGGCCCAGAAGCTGTATTCTGGCTCCCTCAGCCAATAAAGCAAGATGAGTGTTGCAACCCCAGAGTTGGCCACGACTGGACCAAATGGTCAGGGGTCCCTTTACCTTTACCTTTTATGTTCCTATGTACTCTCATGGTCTTTAGAATCTGGGCTGTCATCAAATCCCAGCACTGGACTTCTGAGTAAACGTACATAGAATTGCACTGCACATATTGGAAAGCTTCATGTTTTCTTCTTTCTAAGCAGTTCTTTTTTTCTCTTTTCTTTACAAATGTGCTTTGCAAAAGGCTCTGTTTCACTCAATTGCTATTGTCAATTGCAGTTCACGAGACCCCTTTGAGATCTTATTTTCTTCTGAGTCCATTGTCTATAACTGCACCCCCTTTCCCCCTCTTCTTTCCTTAGAAGTTAAATGTGCTGTGATTCAGTAAAGAATTTGTGTGATGTATTTTTGGGGGGGTGGGGGGTTGCCCCAGGGCCGTGGTATATTGTGATGCAGATCTTTCTCTTTTTTAGAATGGGCCTCACACATAATCTCTGATATATTCCTTGGTTGGGAGATTACCAGTTTCCACATTTTGCCCTTCTTGGCCACTGTACTGTGGACAGCAAATAATCTCTTTTTAATTTTGTGTCTGGAAATCAATAGACAAGTGACTCTGCAATCCATTTCACAGCCAGGTGCTTTATGTTCAACAGCTGTATATCTTTCTTTACAGGAAACACTTTGTAATAAATTACAATAAGCCATAACCTGCATACCTGTATATTTAATACAACCTGAGGCTATTTTGCACACCTGCTCATCCGGAAATGCCTGCAGCCATTCAACTAAATTGTTCATCCTCCTGACAAAGTTTTGCATCAGCAGTAAACAACAAAGAAATTGCCCAGCACCCTGTTGCTTAAACCACTCCTGTATTTCATAAGGTCTCACAATAGCTAAAGAGGCCCACAGAGTTGCTTTAAGTGAAAACTCTGAAGAAATTTTTAAGGCATGAAAACAGTTTGATCAAACTGAAGATGTCTCTCCAAGGCTTTACATTGACACCAATATTCTCCAAAGTTAAAATCTGAGGGGAAAGTATAGGTTCCAGCTCAAGTGATGCAACTGTGGGATTCGGGGGGGGGGGGGGAAGAGCAAGGTTTCATTTCTAATTAAATTGATACATCCATAGACTTATTCAGGAACAGAGAGGAGAGATGTGATAAGAATAGTCAGCCCTTTGGGTGAAATGCTAGTCAGGACATTGTTTAATACCAGCTTCTACTTACAGTTACTGTTTAGTTTGTTTGTTTTTCAAATTGTGGACATTTTCATTGAAAACATAAAATATTGTTGTAAGCAGCCTATAGTCCAGTGGTTGGGAATCTTTTGGGGCCAGTGAGCACATTTGGAATTTGAGTGCTGTGGGTGGCAGTTATGATGTTGCCAGCACATCATACAACATGGCACGATACAGAATGGTCGCCATGGGGGTTTGTAGGAGAGGCCATACAACTGCATAAGGAATTGAGCAGGAAGTGCAAGCAGTCTTTCAAGCACTGTGGATTTTTGATGAGTGATTTACTGAGAATTTTCAAGGGTACCATAGGAGTTACTAGCAATCCCTGCTTTAGTTGCTAGAGAGGCAGACCAATAATGCTGGGATGAAGTATCTGGCCACACAATTTTCATATGTTTCAGTCAAGGATGTGTGGAAATGCCCTCAGTATTAAATTAAACTTTCAGACAGGTGTAACCAATGTGGTGCCTCGAGAGGTTTTAGACCTGATTCCAAATTCCTACCTGGCTCCAAATACATCGTCCAAAAATCTTCCATAGCAGGGTCCTCCTTGCGGGCTACCTCACTTACCTTCAGGTAGCTCACAAATAAGGGGAGGGTGGGAAATCTAAAGAGAACTGAGACTGGAGGTCAGACACAGTAGGGATTTATCGCTGGGGAGAAGACCAGAGATCAGAGGTTTCCTCTCTGGTCCACTCCCAAGCCACGCCACCCAACTCACCCGTGATTGGCTGAAAGCCTGCAGGTGCATACAAATAGCCAGCATCGCTGGCGGAAGAGGAAGTGGCTCCCACTGCCATGCTGGAGCCAAAGGAGGATTCCTATCCCGCCACAGCCATATCAAGCTGTAACCACTGCTCTCCACTGCCCCATGAAGAAGGTAATTGGTCCTTGACTGGCTGCCCCTGGTGATTAATACAGGTATTTGCAGACTAGGGGGGGAAATGAGGGCTTGCAGCTCTTCCCGAAACACACAACCCGTTTCTTTCCTTTCTGCAAAGCTGTCTGAATTGCTATGACAGTTTCATTACGAACAAGTGATTCATTAGTGCTTGATATGCTTTTCCTGGGAAGGAGGGTCTTTTGCTGACTGACTGAGCTTTACATGTAGGAAGTTCCAAGCTTGATCACTGACATCTCCAGATAAAGTGATTCAATAACAGCTAACAGAACTTCCCATAACAAAACTTCTGCCTGCTTCCCTGGTGATTTGCTGCATTCAGATTGCACCACAGTCAGAATGAACCAGTACTCTGACCTAATGCAAGGCAGCTTCCTAAATTATTTCATAGAGTTTCCTACAAATTGCATTGATCTTTGCATCTATCTATCATCTATCTATCTATCTATACAGTCATACCTCATATTGCGTCCACTTCAGGTTGTGTTTTTTTGGGTTGCGGACTGCCGAAACCCGGAAGTACAGGAACGGGTTACTTCCGGGTTTTGGCACTCGCGCATGTGCTGAAGTGCTAAATTGCACTTTGCACATGCGCAGAAGCGCCGAATTGCAACCCGTGCATGCGCAGACGTGGGTTGTGAACATGCATCCCGCAGGGATCACGTTCACAACCCGAGCGTCCACTGTATATATATGTTGTTGTTTAGTCGCTTAGTCGTGACCCCATGGACCAGAGCACGCCAGGCACTCCTGTCTTCCACTGCCTCCTGCAGCTTGGTCAAACTCCTGTTGGTAGCTTCGAGAACACTGTCCAACCATCTCATCCTCTGTCGTCCCCTTCTCCTTGTGCCCTTAATCTTACATATATTGCCCAGGGCACTTTTCTACAGAGAAGCAACTCATAATAGCTAACTAACTCTCATCTTGTCACATTTGGTGCAACATCTCACTGATCCCGCTCGTTTTGTCCTACCCCCCTGCTAAGATTTTGAATTGCTTTTGAATGTTTATTTCATCCTTCACAGAATCATATATTCCCATCGCCGCTAATCAAAGCGCTGCCACACAAGAAGTCTAATAAGCGACTTGTTTAACAGTCTTCTTGAATCAACAACGGCTTGCTCTTAGAAAGAAAAAGGAAAAACCCACCCATTTGAATCCCCTGACAAAATGAGCCTTAATGAAAGCTTCCCTGCCTTTTTCATTTAATATTGCAGCCGGGCCAAACCCAAGCAGCAGTAGGAGGCGAGGAAAGAATCTTGACATAGTAAATAATCTCCTAGCAGTCATTTTCAAAATAAATATTTCCTTTTTTATTTTTAACTAAAACCTTCCCCATCTGTTCTGCTCCCTCATTACAAATGCATGAAGAGCATAATTCACAGATACATCATAAAGAGAGGCATGATTTAGATCTTTGACTGCGTATTCCTTAATCCTGCTGCAACTCAGCAGATATCTGCTTTATCCTTACCTGGAGTTTCTGTATGGAACGAAAAGGTGCCATAATCTCCGCTTTGCAATTCTACAAACTCCCAAATTTGCCTGACACTGGATTTTAGAGCTCATCCCAGAAGCGTCTCAGCAAACAAATGCTGGGCAAAACCCAAGTCATCAATTTTGTGACACTCTTATTCTGCCCCCAGTAAAAGATCAATTATTTTTTCTGCCACTTTCAGAAAGCAGGGGTCCTTCTGTTATTTATCTTTTTTGGGGGTGGGTGGGAGTGTAGATATTTGATGCTTGGTACTTAACACAATAATATTACAAGCTAATATCAGGGTAATAGGTTAAGATCTGGTGAGGTGCAATAACAACCTTGTAAAGTATACAGCTTTGGGTTCCCCCCTCCCCTTTATTTTCCCTTCTACACGGGTTCTGTTTCTCGGTTTTTCTTCCTCTCTCTTTTATTTACGTCTCACCATGTTTAGTGCACATATAATTATGTACTTTTTGAACTTTCAATAAAAATAAAATACAAGGTGGCCAGAAAGGCTTCCTATTTTTGACTGGCTAAGGAGACTGCCAGTGGAGGTGTGGTAAGGCTTTGTTTTTAAATTTTATTTATTAATTATTTCCATTTATGGACTACTTTAGTATCCAAAGGATCCTGAAGCAATTTACATACATGGGAAACACAATAAAACCAATATTTAATTATTTACATAACAAAAATACATTAAAATATCCATAGTCATAAACATATGAGCCCTGAATATGTGAAGCCAAG